ACCCAATATGGGGTGTGTATTTTAATGACTTTTTAAAAATTGTTCAGTAATCAGAATCAGAAATACTTTATTGATCTCAGGGGGAAATTGTGTTTGTTACAATTGCTCCAAGGGTAAGAAATATAGCATATAAGATTAAAAATAAAATGTATGATAGAAGAATATGAAATATATACAATATTGTGCGTGCTGTACATTGGATATTTGGTGCACAGTCATTACAGTGCAGTCATGACTGTGCACTAAATATCCAATCACTCTGTTGTCTCAGAGTTTTTCAGAGGGAGGAGTTGTATAGTTGGATGGCCACGATCTCAGCCTTGCACTGAACATGCACCTGTGTTTGACCAGCACATCATGGAGAGGGTGGGAGACATTGTCCAGGATGGCGTGTAACTTATACAGCATCTGACACCACCGTCAGAGAGTCCAGCTCCACTCCTACAGCGTCACTGGCCTAGGATCAGTTTGTTGAGTCTGGTGGTGACCGCAACCCTCAGTCTGCTGCCCCAGCATGCAACAGCAAACAGGACTGGCTACCACAGTCTCATAAAACATGCTCAGCATAGGCCGGCAGATGTTGAAGGACCTCAGTCTCCCCTTGATATAAAGGGCATCAGTTGTCTTAGCCCAGTCGAGTTTACGGTCTCTGAACATTCCCAGGTATTTATAATCCTCCACACTGTCCACGCTGGCCCCTGGATGGAAACAGGGGTCGTCGGTGTCCTGACCCTCCTCAGATCCACAACCAGCTCCTTTATCTTTGTTGAGCTGCTTGCTGATACATCCAACTATTGCAGAGTCATCAGAAAACTTCTGGAGAGGGCAGGACTCTGTCTGGTAGCTGAAGTCGAGGGACACAATATTTTCTTAAATTGCACTAAGTAGAGCATATATATCTGCCAAGGCCCAACAGTCCCCTTAAAGTAAACCAATTGTGATACCTAAGAGCACATTGAGTTTCTCAGCTACACTTTGGTGATATTTACAGATTTCTAGTTTTATTTGTCACTAAACATTGGCTAGAAAGAAAGCCTACACATCTGATGTTACCCCATTATAATTCAATAGATCCAGATTTTTAATATCTTGGAATTCTTCATCAGGTTTTACACATAGTTCTATGAGAAATCAAATTTTATCTCACAATGTTAAAGACAGTGGTGAAGGTAATCATTGTAAGTTTGCAGCCAGACTTAAACTGAGAATATGCAGTTCAGCCCACAGACCGCAATTCTAAGATTAAACCTTTTAATTAATGCAGAATGCAGTCAGATTATTATTTGACTGTTTCTGAAGTGCAGTTCATTTTCAAGATTAAAACCTTTCAGTTTGGCCTCATGTGAGGATTAGGGTTTAACTGCAGAGTAAAAGCTATAGTCACTCATCATTAGCAGCACCAACTATTGTGAGAATTAAAAGCCACTGCAGCTTTTTGAACAGTGAAGAGGCAGTCAGGTCTTAAGTCACTTCACCTGCTGAGACTGAGGCCAGAGTCTTTGCTGGAAGCAGGTGTCCACACAACTAAATCTCCCAGCTTGCATCACAAACGCTCCCTCCAAATCTTTGCCTAATAGCTGTAGAAGGGGACTCCTAATATGTTTTGTGTGTGTTGCAGCTGTTTCATGGTTTGCCAGAGAAAAGTTGCCGCTAATGTTGCTTGAGGGGCTGAAAAAGGAAGTGAAATGTTTTACTTCTGTCAGAGGTGGAGAGCGGGCTTCAAAAGAAACAGGTCTCCTTGAGAGTGTGACTTGGCCGTACCAGACGCCACGAGGATATTACATGAACTTGTCAAAATGGCAAAGCGGGGCCATTTATCATTTCACTCATAATGTAACTCAAGCAATCCAGACCTCACATTAAGTTTGTATTATAAAGTGAACTTAACCTAAAGTCTATAAAGCTTTTCTAACTACCCTCCGCAACACTCATCACTTTCAACTGGAGAACAAGAGAAGACAAAAAAAACATGTTGCAATGTAACTATTTATTTCACTCCACTACAAAATTATATATTTATCTGAACTATGATACAGTCTCCACATATACATAATTTACAGTTTAAAGAGAAACCAAGCATATGATACAAAAAGTGTGCAGTGAAAATGGTCCTTTCAATAGCATGGACAAGCAGATTCTCACTTTTCCAGGAGTTTTAGGATTTGCAAATTTGATTTTCTAGGAGGTAAATGTTCTCATTTATTTTTGGCGGACTAAATATAATACTGATATGAAACTAAATGATTGTATATTTTGAATGTTGAATCCTTAGCATGAATAGCTCTCAAATAAATAGCACTGATGAAGATATTTCCCCACTGAAGAAATCCAGATTTTCCCTTTTTTAAGATATTAGTTTAGCTTTAATCTTTTTGTTTTATTGTAAAAAATACTTAGCAAAAACTATTTATGACAAAATTTGCTCTTTAGAAGTTTCTTAGATTTCAAACCAGTCTGTTCTATGCAACATTTATGGCTTTATTTATTTTCCAGATTTGTCAAAATAGGGTTTGTACTTTCCAATTACAAATAGTTTTTTTTTTTTTTTACCTTAAACTATATAATAAACTATGAGATCAGAAACATCACAGAACACTTCATGTTCTTAGCACAGATGTGTTGTATGTTTAAATGGTGGGACAGTGAAAATTGAATCCCCACTCTCTGAGAGCTCTCAGATCATCACTTCATAGCTAAAGAAAAAAAAACATGTAGCTATTGCTGGTCATTATGGGGAGGGACATAATTACATTCATCAGAGCATCTCGACAAGTTTTTTCTCTGGGAGGCAATTCTGTAGCAGAACTAACAGAGGTAGCAACAGCATATAAGGAAGTATCAACAATGTAAAATTTGCATTTTAACTATAAACTGCATTTTCATTCAGGGTGAGATAGGCCACAATGTATGGAAACATCTATATTTCATTCACACATGGAAATATGACTATTGTCAAGTTGGGTATTTGAGGAAAACTGGGACAGTGGTTACTTTCAGTCTGACATCTCTACACTCCAATCTCTCACTGCTGTTATCAGCCGAGTATTGCTTCATATATATTTTTATATTAGACACGTATGTGTAAAGTACATCTCTTAAAGAAAGAGAAGGTAAAATATGATTTTTTTTATTCATAAGAGTTCCAGAGTTCACACAAAAATTTGCCATATAACCAAACATTGTGTTCATCCCAAAAATGGATGAGTTTGGCAAATTCTATGGTACAAATCAAGCCGAGGGCCATCCATCATGGTGGCTATCACTGCAAAGATAGATCTTTACTTTTAATGTCCTATGTCTTGTCTTGGCTGTGTTGTGAGTTATAAGATCTTTATAAGTGTGAGAGGAACTAATTTAATTTAATTTGGCTGTGCTGCCAAAAGGATTTTTCTAAAAAATTCCTCAAAGGTTCCTCTTCTGATCCCACTCATCATCAAAGTGCCATGGTGCTTAACAAGTGGAAGAGTGAATGAAATAACAAGTGAACCATCAGTATTGTTTTCTACAACATGAAGAGTTTGAGAGGTTGTGGTAAACAATGGGAGATAGAAAAAAAACCGCTGCACAAATTCAAAACAAGGACGGTACCACAGTCATGTTACAACCACATCAGTCAACTAAGACACATAGAACCCTCCACATAAAAATATGAATCTATATGAAAGAAAGAGAAAATTCATTTTCCTCCTGTTTTCAACCAGATGAATAGTGTGAGGTGTTCCATATTTTTACTCAGCAATGAAAGAATAAGAAGGAAATACACTTTAAATCTAATGTTATTTGAAAGTGTGGTAAAATCAAGCATTAAAAACAACTATCTATTCTAACTGTCATAAGCTAACTGGCTCATTCCAGAAAGGCACCATTTCAGAACAGGGGGAAAAGTTAGGGTTTGGAGCAGGAAGATCATTTATTTATTCTATGATAAGCAGCTGGTAAACCTCCGACTTTACCACCCACCTTTTCCATTTAATCATATGTTAGAATAGAGTCAGACCTCTAAACCAACGCACGGTGTTTTTATTTACCAACAGTAAGTACGTTTCTTTCCCACCCTGGTTGTGTTGGAATGTGTTTGGGTCCATCATCAACAAAAACATAAAAGTGCAGTGTTTGGTCCCATCCCACATTAACCTTCAAGAAAAATGTTCTCGCCATGATTCTGAAGGGTAAACTGTTCGTACCTATACAAGTTGTCAGTGCATTTATAGAAGTTAGTGACGTTCAGGTTCTGGAAGAGGCATTCATTCCTGTCACCATCTTTTGGATCTTCTCTTCATTCTTCAGTATGTTGGACTTTACAGCACAAATCTTGTCCTGCTGGTCCTTGATAAGCTGCTCCAGCTCAGCTAGGTCTGCTTTAAGAGGCTCCACGGCACGGTCTGTCACTCTGCAGCACGTACAAACACACACACGCACAAACAAGGAGGACATCATTAATCGTCTACATGTATTACCTGAAAAGGAGTTGAAAGTGAGCAGCAAATAACACTAGGTTGTTGTTGACAGGACACCAGCCAGCTCAGAGTTGCTCATCTTTTTCATTTTAAGATAAAGTATCTTAAATCAATTATCTAGACTGTGGCAGCCCGCCATCACATAATTTGTCCCAGCAGTTTCATAATGAACCAACATTTTTATACACTTCTCATCACAACACAAGAAATCTCTAACTTGTTGTGTGCAGTGTTATTTGCAGCGTGCTCATTGCGCAATAGTCGTATAACATTTTGACCATCCATCAAAAGTGTCATATAAATAAAGTCTGATTGACTGATTAAACATGTAACTTGTGACGGAGTTTCTCTCTTCTTTGCAAGACAGTATCAGTATTATTTTTGGAAGGCACCACTGCAGAGGAAGTACATCAATCAGTAAACATGACCCTAGCAGGAGAATCTGTATAAATACCAGTCCTGGAAATACATTTTTTTTTTCAACAACACATTACTTAAAGCATGTTGTGCATGTGTCAACCCACTTCTGCTCCTGCACCAAGGCCTGTGCATGCTCCTTGTTCTCCTGTCGCCAAGTATTCAGTTCAGCCTGCATGGCGTCCATGTCCTCCTGGATGTAGTCCATGATCTTACCCAAAGGCAGGGAGCTACGGCACACCGTCTGGATGGATGAGCGCAGCCGCTCTATCTCCTTCGTCACCACGTCCCGCTCTTTCTTCCGTGCTGCTTCAAACACCCAGTTCTGGAAGTGAGGGTGGTATGATGATAATAATAATAATTATAATAACGCTAATAATAATAACTGCATTTGTATAGCACTTATCTAAACAGAGTGACAAAGTGCTTCACAGGAAAAATAATAAAATCCATGACTAGAAGAAGAATAAATTATAATAAAAATGTATTTAATTCAGTTACATTTTTTGAGCCACGGAGCAGTTTAACCATCACATATGAGCTCTGTAAGACTGGTTGTTGTAATGAAGACAATAACTTCAATTTTACCTTGGTGTGATCAAGTATTTCAGCCTATTAATCACAGTAACGTTGAGAGAGGCTAAAAGTAAATCTGACTGGCTACTGGCTTGTATGGCAGTGCTATGAAAGCCATGTGGCCTGCTCAGTAGATCAGACGTCATTACTTCTGTGCCTTTTTTTTTTTTTTTAATTCTAATTATTTATTTATTTATTTATTTGATGATGGGTGCAATGTTAGAATACTTCCAACTTACAAAGCATGTAAACATCAAATACAATTCTAGGAGCGTGCATGTTGGTATTCGAGGAAGAGGAAACCCTTGTTTGATTTTACTAGCAAGTAAGAAACTCTAAAAAGTTTTTATATAATCTCACTCCGCAATGTATCAAACAGACGTAAGAACACACACAAAAATCACTTGTGTGTCCCTAGACCAAAACATAATAAACCCTCTTTAGGAATCCTACCTTTGCCAGCGACTGAAGCACGGGGCTGTATTTAGTGGTTTAGGATTTCAAGGCTAAAAATGTTAAGCAGGAATTCTACCAACCTAGCTGTATATATAAAGATCAAACGTGTGCCGGAATTGTGTTGGCCAAAGTTGGGGGGACTGGTTGGCTGGCTGGTGAAGGCTCCCAGTGTACGGTGTGCAGTCGGGTGTGTATGTGGGGGGCTGCTATAGCCCAATTACACTCGGTCCCTTGATGGCAAAAAGGAGGGGAAGGTATCAGGGAAGGACCTCCCTTGGCAGGGAGAAAACCCAATGATGTTTGCTCAGCTGGGCTTGGCAAGGCCTGAGTGTATGCGTGTGAGTGTGTCTGTGTGTGTGTGTATGTGTGTGTGCAAAGCGAAAGCACTCAGTATTGCAACCATAAAGCCACACACACAAACACCAAGCCAAGGATCAGGTGAAGCATACAGTGGACACACACACACAGCCCTCGCCCGCACTCTTGGTCTTAAAGTCTTGTTTATTTTAGTAACAGGCTGTGGCAGTGAGGTTATTTTACTACAGTATTGAGTAACAACTACTACACTTATTCATCCTTTCAAGTTCAACTCTTTATGCCATTTGGCTCCACAGATGGGAGACCCTGCCTTCATGAGGCAGCAGGAATCAGACTGGCGACAGTGTGTGAACTAATGACAGCTTCCGCTTCAAAACACACACTCTGTCACACAGTCTACATGGGTAGGTGCATATCGGATTTTCCTTATCAAGCCATCTCTTAAAACAAACCAAACAGCTGAGTGATTACAATTTTAAAAGGCAGCTTCACTCGACCAGACCACACTGAAGAAATGGCAATCAAACGACATTGTGTGCTATCGTTTCTTTTCAGTAAGCAAGTACAAATTTCTGACAGCCGCACTCTCCGTTACCCATTTGTGGTGGCTCAAGAGTGTGAGGGTTGAAATGCCTTGGCCCGGCGGTCCCCCTTACAAGGTGGGTGGCTTCCACTGGGCGCTGTGAACCCTGCAGCTACACAAACACTCTACGGCTCATTCGGCCTGCCTGGCTGCAGTTTTCTCTGCATAGCCCAGACACGACCCGCAGCTTCATTCTATTTGCCGTCCTCTTGCTACCTCACCCCCCTTTCTCCTTCTCTGTTGGAAAATAAAAAACTTGGCGCAAAAACATGACCCCTGGTTCGTGTGCACTCTGTTCGGGAGGATATAAATCACTGCTTTATGGAGGTCCCTGTCGGGGTCTACGAGACCCGTGTGCTCCTAGTTTTCCTTTTTCTCACCCCGATCACAGAACAATATTTAGATGTGGTGACCGTAGAGGAGTAGGAGGTGAGAGGGGAGGAAGGGGAGCAGGTTTTCCCATTATCTCAGACGTGATGAAAGCTCCAGGCAATGGAGAAGACAGAGCCTCTGTCTGATGTTCGAAAGGACAGGTGGACTAGTTACATACCCTCAGTATCATCTTGTACATCGTGAAAGTGAATTAATTAGTCATTTAATCTTGATTTCATTAGCATTTCTTTTGTTGTTGGAAGGCTAAATGTTTGAGTTCAATCTCTAACATTAATTAAAAACTGCTGCTTCAAAAGAGGGACAACATGGACATATTATAACACTGCGAGGTATCCTACAATGTCATCACAGGTCTAATCAGCTTAATTGAAATACGTGCAAAAGTGTGCTTTATGGGCGACTTAGAGGGATTTTCTGGCACAAGAGAAAAAACATTCTTCAAAGTTTCCTCTGACAAGAAAAATGGTTTGCAAGCACAGGACCTGTCAGTGTGATGGAGCAACCTCTGGGGTATCATTAACTAGAAAAACAAAAATGTACACACTAGCTGTATAGCTAATAATCAGAAATCCGCTTCAAATAGAAGGCAACAAGACTCACACATTGCTGCTCATTTCTCAGCTGCACTTTGGTTGGGCCAAGAGGATGACAGACATTATATATATAAACTCTAATTAGAGCTGCTTAGACCATACATAAAGATTAATCAACATAAGGTTAAGTTAAAGTTATGGTGCTTTGGTGGCACATGCAAAACAAGCTGCAGAATCCATTGATCTTTATCTGTAATGTGAGTGAATTGATTTCACATCACCGCCTGCAACTATGTGACAGATCACTGAAGAGCTCATATAACAGCACTGGAGTTTCTGGGAACAATTCTCTTGGCTACTGATGCTCATTTGGAGACACTGACACACACCTTGATGATTTTAACAGCGTGTTCTTCAGGCGGATCTGAGATGTGAGCCAGCGAGCCGAGCATGGGACGAGAATCAGCTGCCAACGTTTGTTTATGAGCTTCCTCGCCATTTTTCATAGGAGTTGAGCTACATCATAAAAATAGCTTGCGGTCAGTGAGGTGAGGAGGAAAAGCCTACAGCCAGTGAGGTTACAGGATGTTGTTGCAAGGTCACTGTAGCTCCTTGGGGAGACGACTGAGATCACCCCCCTGGGCTGCGGGGGTGAAGTGGGGGGAAAATTCCTTAGGGACTTATGACTTTAATAACAGACAATGGAAAACTATGTTTCAATAAAACAGTTTACCATTCAAACATTCAGGGAGGGAAAAGGCAAATTTAAATGGCTTCTGATCATGGCTAAAACACGCTGTCACATTTGAGGTCTGTCCTGATAACTGACTGTGGCTGCTTCAGGTAGGTACTCATCATAAACCTGGCCAAATTCCTGACAAGTCAATATGACCTGTACAAAAGTAATACAACTAATGGAATGGCACAAGGTCATTTCCTAAAGTTTCCACAAAAAACGCTGGATGTTTATGAAGACGCAGGTCTGGAAAGAGAAGTATTTATTTTCTTGACAATTCTGCAGAGAGTATTCTGGCCCTTCTCCTCCATGCCTCTCACTCAACAGCCGTCCATTTGTATGCCACAGGGTTTATTTATACATTACAAACCTTCATCAAGGCTAATTTGATGGGGGTAAAGAAAAGGGGGGAAAAGAGTACACAAAAATTCTTATGAAAACGCAGCTGCTGCAAGGGGCAGATTCTGTCTAAATAAGAAGAGAAGTATCTTGGAATAATATACAATGCCGCTGAAGGGTCGCAAGAAAGGTCGTCCCCATAAATATACAGCAAAGTCCGTGGTCGCACACACACAGTGGCAGGAGAGAGCAAAACATGTCATTTGATTGTGTAAGTATTCCCTATATTTACATCAGTGCAGGATAGAAATACCAAAGCTCAGAAATTACTAAAGGAAATAACTACAGGCTTACAGGAATATTAATGGAAGGGGGATTGTAACTAATTCAGAAACAAAGTTATGACAAATATCAGAGCTTCACAAAATGAATTGCGGCAGCTGAAATTTCAAACCTGACATACCACACAGAATGAGGAAGCTCAATATTTACATTTTTGTCCCTGCGTGTTTTACCGTAATTACGAGAAAAAAACCTGACTCCATTAAGCTGACCTCTCCACCCTTTCATGTCAGGAAGGAAGTCATTATAGTTCTTTATACAGCTGACGAGGCAAGGCCAATAATGATGGAGGGGTGGACTGGAACTGGTCCTATGTGCAGATGTACCTGCTCTAAGCTGCCCCTGCAGACCGTACAGGATACCCTGGAATGAAGGTTTGGAACCGCTGAAAGCTGAGGAGGCTGCATTAAGAAAATTAGAATAAACTCTACAAGGCTACGATCATGTTGCACAAAGAAGGGTATTTTTCTGGTGTGTGTCAACGTACGCATGTTGGGTTGGACCATGTATGTGTGCCGAATGTTAGAGCTATATTTAACACATGCATGTAAAGCTGGTCAAATCTAAGGCCTAAAAATTACTGCCAAGCTATTTTAGCTAACTAGTGGCCAGACTGAGACAATGTCAGGTGTGAGTTATGAGGGATGATGTCTGAGGCCACAGTTGGGAGGGGATGGATCAGGGGCCTTTGTGCATGAGTGACAGTCCAAAACAGTGCATCCATTAGAGTCAGGGTGGTCAGCTAGGAAGGGATGCAGGGAGAGTATGCTTCAGTGGAGAGGACCACCCAAAGCAGACAGTGTACACCACCTCACACCATGGACGACAGACCAAACTGTAAGTTTCACACTGATTCACACTCTAAATAACGATGAAGGAGCACGGCTTTCTGGCTGATAAACAAGCTGACAAAGGGAAACACAAGAGCCGCGGCAATGTGTCACCTTAAAAAAGCCTGTTTATCATGTCTAACATGAAGCGAGAGGAGACGAGAAGGAAAGTCTTACTAGAACACCTGACCCCTGACTCCTTTTAATCAAAGACATATATGGCAAGACGGAAAATATGAAAGACAGAAAAAGATGGTTGTGCAGCAACAGTTTTCAGTAGTCCACAACAGTCTACAGGATTGTTCTTAAGTTCCCTGCTAAGATGGCAGATATCCTCACACTATACAGAGCAGAGAAGAAAAACTCTCACGCAACATAGCATACCTATGATATTGAGCAAACCCAGAAAACAAGCTCATTTTGTGCCAGACATCTTGATGTGCGTATCAGTAGTGTGTGGTCTGTGAGGGGCCATACTTGCTTGGCTGGTTATCAGCCCTTCAGCTTCAGTGAAGGGGAATATTTTTTTGTGATTTCAAGTCAGTGCAATTACACCTCTACACTCCATTTATTTGTATCTTTCTGTTGATAATAACCAGTGCTGCAGTGGGCATTTTACTATGATCAGAATGCAAACCCTAACTTTCTGGAACGAATGGTTGGGAGGACTGATTGGGAGGGAGGAACACAACAGAACTAGACTAATACTGCCCTCTTGTGGAGATGAGGTAAAACCACTACTATAACAGCACATACCTGCTCTTTAGATTTGGGGGAGGATGGTGACAATTCATAGTCTTTCTTGGTCTCGATTATCTTTTTCACAAGACCACCTAGAACGACAGAAACAATGAGAGGAGATGTGAAAGATGGATTTCCTCAAACCACAGGTGGGAGAGAAATCAGAGGGCATCAATGCTCCTTTCAAAATGTGGGAGCTAAAAGGAAATTTGATCGTACCGTGTTTCTCTTCACTGTCTAGTTCCTGCGTAGGATCCTGTAATAGAAAATAAAAGGGTAAATAAGTCCCAGATTATATTTTCTCCTCAATATTAAAAGAAATTCCTTTTCAAGTTACTCACCACCTCCATCTCAGTAGCGTTTAAGGGTGGAGGGACCACCTCCTCAACGACAAATTGTTCATCTTCATCCTCCTCATCCTCAGAGAGCTTCTTCCCATCCATGATGACAGGTGCTGAAGGCTTGGCACTGGACAGTCTGGAAGAAAGACAAAGAGCATCACTTATTTCTTAATGAAGTATGAGGTATGGACTGTATGGGAGACACATGTCACTGGTTAGACTTGCTCCACCTGTTCCATTATTAGACATCACACCCAGTTGTTGACTCTATTTGGTTTAACAATCTCTGCACAGACACGTTCATCACAGCAACAAATCCACTGCATTCTTCATGTGAGAGGTGGTGCAGCCGGGTGCAGCAGACAGAGGCAGGAAGTAATGTAATAATTCTGCTTCGGAGATCACGCGATTTTCTTTACAACACACCGTTGTCAGCTCTCATCACCACAAACTCTCAAGACATCTTTATGGATGTCGTCTGCATGTATGACACCCCTTTTCCCCCCAGAGATATCTGTTTTCTTTTTTTCATTTGCGTCTGTCAAATCAGGTGCCCCCCAATTGCTCGCAGTCAACCCAACTCCTGCTGTGTTCACACATTGGATTCTCCCGATTTTCTGCAAACTTGATACATGGGGGTGTAGTAAGTCCACAGAAAATACGGAGGCTTTCACTTGGACATTTGCTTTCACACACGCACCTCCTTCAGAGAAAGTGTCTCCAGAGTTAAGTGCATGTCTGAAGGCTGCTTTAGTGATAAATCTGTCCCAATGGCAGGAACAGGACCTGTATTCAAACTGTGAATGTATTCACAAAGAAGAGGGGGCATTCGTCTTTTCCAGTAAAAAATATAATTATGACATTAGTGAGTGTGTGTAGTAAAGTCACCTCTCAGCTGAGGTCACATCAGGGTGACTTTCCTGTCTCCTGACTCGAGGAGGTGCTGGGCGAGCACTGCTGGGCCGTGCTATTCGTCTGTTGTTGCAGGATTAAAGGATTGTACACATTGTTAAACTCTTCAACTAACAATTTTAAAAGTAAACATGTCAGCATATAAACAAGAAGTTTTTGTTTCGTTTAACAAGGTGGCTTTTACAAGACACATTTTCTGTGAGATTTGCCACATGTCTACTTTGTGACAGCTCCACTGAGTTCTTCTGATTTGGGGATAACAATCTTTGGGAGATTACTTAGAACAATAAACCTTCACAGTATTAAAACAGTAAAACTGGAATAACACAGCTGCCCCAAAAAACAACAGAACAGAACATTCACAATTATCCAAATTAAGGTCAATTATTCAACTGTGAAATCTACTGGAATTGATCCTGGATTTGTTTCAAAAGCAAAGCAAAAACAATTTTCAATAACGAAAAAAATAAATAAAGCAATGTATAAGAATGAAATCAAATAATACTCTAATTAAACCCTCTTAAATTACTTGATTACTATAATTAGTTGAAACAGCATGACTGACGCATCACAGCAGCATGACTGACGGCACCAGATGGCCTTATCTTTCTTCCCTGTTTCAATCACGTCTCCTTTCCTATATCTCTGTTCAACTTCACATGTATTCCAATTACCCTCATTACCTCTCCTGCATAAATACGAGCCCTTTTCCCCAGAGTCACATGCCAAATGGTCCAGTTCTCCATGTTCTTTTTGAACTGATGTTTAGCCAGTTCCTGGAACCTATCTGCAAATTTGTGTTATTATCACCTTCTACTAACCTCACTTTAAAAGCACCTGCCTGCATGTTTGCATTTGTGCCCTCACTACCTCTGCTCCGTACAACAATTGCAACAACCTCAGCGAACAGTTTGCTATGTGATTGAAGGTGTTGACGACTGTACAGACCTGGAAGCTGTGTCAGATGGCACAGAGGAGCCTGCAGCATCTCCATTTTCCTGAGGAACAGGTCTCTGGGTTAACTGAGCATCTCCGTCTATACAAGGAAACAGTCACAGCTCAGTATAGAATAGCATGGATTAAATCTAATCATAGCATAGTGAATACTGATACTTAAGTGCACACCCTCGCAACAATTTCCTTTTTCTTCGTCTTAAATGCTACCACTCTAAAAAAGCTCCCCCAACAAAAAGTTCTTCACTTCTCTGCAATGACTTTCAACTCATCCAAAATTCTGTGCTGTCCTTCATATGCGTTGAAATCTCCCTTAAACCCCCTGAGAGATCTTGTCTTTGCTGACTCTCAGTAGTTTTAACTACACATCTGAATGTCATGATGTACAGCTGTTCTTATCATCACGTGAAATGACTGTTGGGTTTGGTGAGACGGGGCACATTCACTTCTGACTACATCAGAGGTGAAACAGATTTGAAGAGATGTTTTTTAGTCTGGTCTCAAGTAACTCTAACATCTGAGCAGGTAATGAATAAATTATTGTAAAGTTTTCTCAGTTATTTTTTCATTAGCTTTCAGTTGCTCTTAGAGAAGTCGCTCTAATGAACAGCTGCTACCTGTCGTGCTGTGTATCTTACCCTGACCTTCCCTTGTTTCTGTCATGCGCTCTGTTGTGAACTCTGTTGTGGTTCCTCTTGTTTTTTTTAAGTTGGCAAAATGTGCTTATTTCTCTCCAGAATTCTGAATGAGATGAAGCCTGATTAATGGAATTATTATTATTTTTTTATCCATTTGGACTTAACGCTGAATTTTATAGAATTTATACAAACCGAGAGTTCTGACTTTTTAAGGAAAACATTTCTTTGATGGTTTCTTTTAGATTATACCAGATCAGATTAGGTAGCTAACAAAGCTGATAGTGGGTTTTCAGGGCACTGAAAGTCATAACTGTGGTCAGTTGATTAGAAGTCATTACAAAACGTTGTGTGGGTTATTTATTTAATCATAAGATAGATCAGTGCCAGTAGTGCCCTCGGTTATTGCAGTTTACCATGACAATCCTATCATTTTGATCAAGTGCACAGAGTTAAACAGTACACATTCTTGAGTAGATGATGAAAAACCTTTATTTGCTCATGTTTGCATGTAGCTGGGAGAGACAGACAGAGAACACTTACCTCCCTCACTGTCAGATTCATCTGTTGACAACAAAGAGAAAAACAAGGAGTCCATTAAGATACAACAATGAAAGTTAGAGTGCTCTGTAATTATGCTGTGTGTAGTATGAAATACAGGTGAATTAAAAGGTTGTATATCCCTGTCGTATTTGTAGGAAGTGTAAAATGCTTCTTTATTATATTGCCTTTCTTTGTTTCCGATACTTAAAATTTGTATTGCGTCACCATGAGTCACTCCCTCTGAGTGAAATAGTTAGTGTTTTATTAAAGAAATGAAGAGTAAAAAAATCTATTTGCAACAAAAACTTTTGTACTATAATTTATTTCTGTCAGCAATTAAAGAGGAGTCATTATATTAAACATCTCTATTAAGTATGTGAGATATACCATGTTGCTGTAGGGGATAAAAATAGGGTGCAAGTTTGAGTTTGGGAGGTTACCTTGATCTCCAATTTTAGGTCTCCGCCTCTGCCCTTTAGCAGATGAAGGCCGGGGTATTCTTGTTGGACTGTTGGACTAAGAGGACCAAAGACAAGCAGGAGAAAGACACATCTTGAGAATAATAAGAGTAAGGACACACATCTTCTCTATTACACTTAATATGATCACTCATCATTTTCTTTAGTTACGTTGAAGGTACACTGAGGTATGCCATAGTGCTTTTAGGCAAAATTTGCAAAGATTAAAAGTTGTAAAGAAAGAAGAGCAAAGTCAGGTTGCAGCACGTAGCAACATTCTACCAGGGAAAACAAAAGAGAAAAGAAAATGACAGAATGTGGCTGGACTGAGGCACAGAGAAGGGACTGGAAGCACTGAAAGCCTTAACACCTGAAATTAAACCATCTGCAGAGACCTCAATCAAATAAATACCGAAATTGAACTGAAATAGAGTTAGGCAGACAGGTGCTCCAGAGCAAAAGTATATTGTAGAAAAATAAACAGAATAATAAACCACCACAAAACAGTAACAAAATAAAGCTGGAAATGGAGCTATATGTTGTAATTACAATATATAGGAATGCTATTTTTTATCAATTAATATTATCAATATCAAATCTATACTTTTTACACACACAGCATATCATAATCTCCATGTATGAAACACACTGGATTGATATTTAACTTAATACTAAAGCATTGCTCTATGCTACCTAACCAATATTGCCCAAAAACGCCTGAAAGAACAAGTTAGTGAAGTCAGATATTGTACTGCCGACTTGTTGAGCTAAAACACACAGGGCGCTTCACATCATTTATAGTTATTAATAGGTCTGACAGAGCGCTGGCTGGAGTCAAACTAGTTGCTTCATGCATAATTTCCTGAAAAGAGAAGTGTTATTGAACCATTGAAATAGAGTTAGCTCTTACCTGGTTTTCAACTTCTGCAGGCTGTACACAGCAAAGAACACAGCGTTATCTATGTGACACTTATTCATTACACAGTTAGTGAGAGGGAACAACACCTCTTGTCTTATGTACTAAAGCCCATATTAGCACTAGACCAAGCAACCAGCCACCCCAAGGCATTTTAACACTAAATGACTACAAGTATGCAAGTCTAATTTTCTATTGATTGTTTCTGCAGGATTAAATACCTCTTCAGCTGGGGTTGGCTCCTTGGATGAACAAAAGGCACTACATTAGAATATAATTTTTTTTGTTTTCAACGATGTAAACATAAATTCTAAGACTGACTCTGATTCTTAATTCTTTATTTACATACAGAATTCATAGCATGATTTGAGAGGAGAAAACCAAATCAAATCTCAATGTCATCATATAAAGTGTAAATGTAAAAGTGTGTACTTCAGGGCAGAGGTAAGAACTTACAGCTGGTACGGGTTTGGCTGTTTTGCTGGGCTCTTCTGGGCTCGTTGTTTCCTCTGATTCTCTAGCCTAAACACAAACAACACATTAAATGTAAATAATCTCTTATATTGCCAACATGTAAAATATGTGTGGATTTAAGAGCTGTACCTTGTTATCGCCATTCACACTTTTGTTGTTCTCTTCCTTCTCTTTGTGTCGTTCCCTCTCTTTCTCCCGCTCTTTGTCTCTTCGTTTTTCCTTGTCTCTTTCCAAATCTCTATGGGAATCCCTCTCCTTTGTCTTTTCTCGCTCTTTCCCCCTCTCCTTTTCCTTTTCTTGATCCCTCTCTCTGTCCTTCGCCTTGTCCCTGTCTTTAACTCGTCCTTTGTCCCTGTCCTTGTCTCGCTCCCGGTCTCGGCTCTTGTCTTTGTCACGTTCTTTGCCGTGTTCCTGTTCGCTGCGGTGATGTTTGCGGTCCCTGTCTGTGTGGTGCTCCTTTTCTCCATCTCTTTGTTGACTCTCCTGCTCTTTGGGCTGGTCTGGGTCCTTATGTTCCCCGCTACCCTTGTGCTTTGAAATCTTTTTCTTTTCCTGAAATAAATGATATCAAAATATTGGGTGAGGATTTATTGTTAATCAAGGCCACATGCTGGACAGACTGTATTAGTTTGTTTTTAAAACAAGTCTGCAGCTAGCAAATGTTAACATTGAAAATACATATCAGGCCATACGTATGACTGAGCATTATGTTGACATGCCACACTTGAGCTGTTTTCAGGCATGCACAATTTTCTCTGGAGATTGCCTTTCACATATGAAAATCACAGCAGGAAATTCTCTGCTCAGATGGGTTCACAACAACACAGAGAGTTGAGGTGAGGGTGGTGCAGCAGGCAGGACACAGGACATGATGAATACATTACGCTACATAGATCATGTATTTTTGTTTACAGCACATCTTCACTGGTCGGCCCTCTCAAATCTCATTGTCTTCCGAAGCTGACATGTTTGTCAGTGGCTTCTACATGTATGACAGATACATGACAGATTTCATCCTGATATTATTTTCATTCTGTATTCTCACATGGGCTCATTAAGAGCTCATTAAGAGCCCATGTGAGAATACAGGGGGATGACAGGAGAAACTCTGGAGAATATCCACAGCAACTGATTTTCTACAGTTTAGTACATGTCTGAAAGCAGCTTTTGAGTGGAGCTGATGACTCTCACCTCTCTATCTAGGTGACGTTCACGTTCTTCCCTATTCTCCTTGTCCTGGGACCTAGAGGTGCTGGCTTTAGTCTTCAAGTCCACCTTCTCTCCACCGAGTACTCGCTTCACTGCATCATCACTTGGCATCTACACATTGTTATTGAAGGAAGCAATTCCATTTAATACAGCGACAATATTAAAGAGTAACAATTACTGTTGGTTGTTTTACAATGTAAAAAAACAGTCATCTAACATGCAGATGAATGTCTGCAAGTCAGGTCAGAAAGCATCTCCCCTTCTGAAGTGTTGTTAAGGAAAACAATATGAGTGGCCCAACAATAGAGTTTAATAGTGCATATGCATCATTGTACGACTCTGCAGCAATTAGAAATATATATCTATATCTATATCTATATATATATCATTTCAAAGCTCTGCAAACAGTATTTTGCCTATTTTTACTGGATTTATCAGCAGGCATGTAGCATGTACATCCACAGCTGCCTTATCTGACTCTGTTTACACGTTACATGAGCACATTCATGAGCTTTCAGAGCTAACTGCACATCACAGAAACACATTTACACTGCTACGAGTTGTCTACATGACATGCTATCAAAATACGGCAATCTACACAGTTTTGCCAGGAATATAATATTTTGATGTGAAAAATAACACACAGTGAATTTTTTGAAGTTTGAAGAACTGGAGAGAGAATGTGTGTTTTAATTTCATTGTCAGCTTGTGTGTGGGTGTGTTTGTGTGTATGTGTGTGTGTGTGTTAAATCTTATGAGAAGACAGACCTTGTTGAGGCAGCACTTGGCGATAACCTGCAGCAGCTCATTGGTTTTCTCAGGTTCGTGACCAGCCACAATGCGTGCTGGCTTTGCTGCCAGGGCCTCGCCACTCACCAGCATCACGACATCTATGGCTTTCTGAAGGAAGGCTATCTTGGAGTCTTTATCCTAGAAGATAAAAATAAGTTGTGATAAAAAGAGTGCACAGGAGAGACACAAGAGAGGATATGGCTATGAAAGTGTAAGAACTCTAATGGAAGTCATTTTCACACAGCTCAGGGTAATTAAAATCCATGAGATACAAACAATCAACACAATTTACTCCAACATCCTACAATTCTACATATCAGGTATAGTTGTGCATATTTGCTGGACAGCAACATATGTGCAATTTAATCCAATCTGACCTCACACCAAATTTCTTACTATGACTGACCCAACAATCACAATCTGTGGGCACACTTGATCTCATTTTATGACCAGGCTACTTATGTGATATATGTAGCTATATTTTGCAAGGTGTCTTTTTGTGATGAAAGTGTTAAATATCAATAAGATTTATGAACATGAGATCCAGCAATTTAAGGTATAATCTTCAATCTCAATCGGTAACAATGATGAACATTTGGTGTTTTGTAAGGCAGCAGGAAGGAGGAAACAGAAAGCCTGGATTCATAACAGGAACCAACCCTGTTGGGCTTGCTTTGTACTATATAGATATCTGCCCTGAACTGTGGAAAAGACAACGATATTTCTTCCACAACATGGATAATAAGCTCCTAACATTAATATTAACATTAACATTCAAGCTAAGCTGTGTGTCTCGTCTATGAGCCTCCTGTATCTGAACAACCTGCCAACTATGTAACATAAGGACTAGAAGCTGATGCAGCCACTTGACCCGTCACTTATAATAGATGGTAAGTCTTCGCAGTGTTCCCTTGAGGACATTTCTATCCAAAAGGCTCTTACACAGGGGCATGGACAATAAATCAAAATAAAAGTTAACATAAAATATTCGTTTAAATCATGAGTGGATGTTAATAATAAGTTATAGATCATACATTTTAAGAACAGTATTATTGTAGAGGTGCAACAGTGCTCTTTGTTACTTCATATATAGTTTTTATCTTCTGAGGATTTATTTTCCAAAGTAGGGCCATTTCACTCTCTCACAGAGGCTAAAGTATAGTTCTATTTCTGCAGGCTTGACAATTGTGACATAAGATTCAGCAAAAAAGGATTGATTGAAAAATGAATTTCCTAGTTACTTCATGGTTTTTCACCAAATACTTGCCATACATATTTTTTGGCTAAACCTTTTTGAAGTGCATTGCAAAAACCTGAGGCACTTTTTAGCTTGTGTGCTCCACTGAAGCCAACAATGACCTTAAAGAAGCTTGAAGTACAGCATGTTTACATTAAGCTGGTTTAATTTGTCTTTCAACCTAAATGTACAACCTACCTGTTTATCATCTATAACCTTTTTCGAAACTGAGAAAAATGTTCTGGAAACTGGAGTTACTATGTCATAATCAATAGTAACTAGTAAGGCCTCTAGTTTTGAACAGTAACATTTATCTAGACTTTTCCCTCCAAACCAAGCACCTTTGTATGTAGTATTTATGGGGAGTCAGCTCTCAAACAGCAGACTTGAGTTCTAACACCTTTACAGGCCCTCACAGCCATGTCCTGCCAGATCCTCTCACTCAGTGTGTTACCCAGCCAGTGTGTAGGGTTACAAACACACACAGGCGCCCTTAGAGTGTCCCATGTAATGCACAAGTGATCTCCTACGCAAGGCTGCTGATTGGGGACGTTAAACTGCGACAAAAGAATACGAGAACACTGTTACCTAACAGTGATATCAATTTTGTGTGGCAAGTGGCCAAAACCAAGTGAGTATAGTCAACTTACCTTAACGTTGTCTGACTTCATTTCATTCTCTCCATACAAGCCTTTCATAAAACCAGTGGCCCTGATGACCTGTGTTGAGAAATAAAGGTTTCACACTAAATTATTAAGTTTCATATAACTAAAACTTACAAATACATACTGTACACCACCATAAGCCAGCATCAGTGATTAAGTGGCAAATGAATTAGTCCTAAATTGGGGAATGAATTGCCCAGTGTGCAGAACTCGTGTTTTTTTAATGCAAGATAGCAATAACCGTGTTATCTTGATAAACATCAATTTAAACTTCTGTGGAGTAGCATTCAACCTTACTGGTGAATTAGTGTAAGTATGGTGCCAATATTGAAGGAAACTTGAATAAGAGATATTCATGTTTAGTCACTTAAAAGCTCATTCTATGAATGTTGGCCTAAATTATACAGATCTGCAGTATATTCTTGAATTACCTACAATGATAATTCAGTTAACACAGTGATCATCAGAGGAAAGGAGTCACACGTGTCGACATGCTTCATTCAAAATAAACATGAACCTACAGTGAAATATGAAAAAGGTGGAGAGGGTGATGATAACTCATAACTGACTAAGAATCAGAAGTTTTACTGTGGAGTTCTTCACTGAGCCTCTCAACCCTTTCCCAAGTAACAGAGACGAACCTCAGATATATGAGTGGTTCAATCATATATGTGGGTGTATCTTAACTTATTTTGAAAGCAACTTTAAACACCGCACTCAGTATAAATGCAGGGTAACACGATGTTGTTTATATACAGCTAGTAAGACAAGATCTTAATCAAACAGCAGAGATAAGCTGCTCAGCATCTGTGATCTCAACGTGACTGGTTCGGAGAAACAGACACATGTAGCCAACGCAGCAGCCACCGTCGCTTCCTCCTAAGCTAACCACAGTGGATCAAAACTGCTTTGTTGACATCCGTGCGGGGGCATCCCGGTCTCACCTGGCAACTGGACGACGCCTTTAAGATGGCTAGCTAACTGGCTAACCTACATCTTTCACTTAATAGACGAGCTCACGGTGTGCTGCTGGTTATCGTCAGTAATTCATTGTTTGGCTGGTCGTGGTGGTTTGACTTCTGGTTCTACAGTATTGGTGCTACGACACAGAACCTGAAAAGGCTGCGGAGGAACTAACGTTGCAGTCAAGTTCAATGCAACCTACTTGGTTAGCTTGGTTCGTGCTAACTTTGGTATTAGCTAGCTAACTGGCTGGTTTATCCGTGTTATCTGGCACACGTCCCGTTGGAGTAAGCTTTTATAAACGAATGTAAACATAGACAACATATGCTCCCAGTGTTAGCGAGGGAAAGGTCGGGGGGCTAACTCTTCGTAGCATTAGGAGATTAGCCTCACCTCACTGAAGATGTCGTGCAGGTATCGAAACGGAGGCTTGCTGAGCAGTTTCTCCGTGAGAGGCGGCTTCTTTATGACTTTACCCAGCGTGTCCTGGGTCTTTTTCACCACCGCCGCGTTCATCACACCGGCGGAAAACAACTCTGGGCGATTAGAGCAGAGACGAGGCAGCTAAAAGTCACCCGGGATGAAACACTCTGTCGGCTCCTGCGCCTGGTTGCTATGTCAATACTCTGCAATCCCACAGTGCATCAGTGCTGAAGAGTGCGCATGCGCACACGGTTTACGGTTGCTAAGAGCTGCCTGTGTCCACAGCAACGGCTAACAAAGTAGTGATAGAGAGAGAGAGAGAGAGAGAGAGAGAGAGAGACAGATACATAGATAGAGAGAGAGAGAGACAGACAGACAGATACATAGATAGAGAGAGAGAGAGGGAGACATAGATAGATAGATAGATAGATAGACAGATTGGATGGATAGGGGGAGGGAGAGATGGATGGATGGATAGAGAGAGAGAGAGAGAGAAATAGACAGGCAGACAGATACATAGATAGAGAGACATAGATAGATAGATAGATAGATAGATAGATCGATAGATAGATAACATACATAATATTAGTACTTACTTCATACAAACAAGCACAGTCTCCACAGAGCATGCTAACAGTGCATGTTCATTACATACATAGTGCAACATTGTAGCACGATGTATAATAAACAGATTTAATATTATATATATATAAACTGTATATATACTATTATCTCTGTTTGGTAGCACGTCTGTGGATACATGTACAGTATGTGCACTTGTATCATTGTTTTGTATCTCACATGAGTTTAGTATAGCTATAACTTTTGTGCTGTATATTCCTCTGAACTCCTCAGAGGATATCAGTGATCCATTTGTTGAGGCTACAGAAAGTGAGTTATATAGTGTTTGTGATTCCGTGTGAGACACGCAGCAGTGTGCAACCTCACGGATAAGTTTAATACAAGACATATACTCTTTCTACATTCCCTCTCTATAACATTCAATCGTCTGATCATTGTTCACAAGAGGATAATGGCTTGAATGAAATTGAAGTGTCACAGTGGAATTATGATTCTTATTTTTTTTTTTTCCCTGTGAGAGACTCCTTGAGGCCCCTTGTGAAAAAGCTGCTGTTTAATTATTGCCAACATTTAGTGTCTGTCAGTGTAACTACGTGTGCATATTTCAGTGAGTGATAGTCATCTGTGCTGAAAGACTTTGATTTACCTGTTTGGTGAGTTCAGCTGAAAGAAACCACGGACAAAAGAGAAAACATAGGTGTGGATAAGTGCAGATGCATGTTGCTTGTTGCTGCAAAGGTAAGACACCCAGTCATATAAAATACTTTTTGTATAAAAAAGAGATTCTAGGAGATTTTTTTGCTGCAACGATGTATTGTGTCAGTCGCTAATGATAAAATACAAATGGATTTACTTTCATACCAAAAACACGTGATTAACATACATGGAATTCCAGCTCACAAAAATATTTTTATAACATGATACCAGCTGAAGTCTTGATTATAATTAATGGTGAAGATTTTATATGAAGACAATGTTTATTTCTTAACTGCTTTGCCAGAATAGCCTCTGTACATACAGTCTTTTGAATCTGAGCCTTATCAAGCTCGTTTGGTGAGTGAGGTGTGCTGTTCGCCAATCCAGTGATCGTAGTGGTTAAACACAACAAATCAAAATGCCTTCCATATAAACGTCTCACTGAATTCCACTCCTGTCTCATCTATCTGTCCGACTGTCACTGCAGGTCTCTCAAAAGATAAGAAGCGATGCTTCGCTGGTTTGTGCTCGCTTTGCTCTTTAGCATCTGTGCCAGTGCTGGGGCGAAGAAAAAAAAGGAAGTGGTGAAAACTCAGTCCCTATCAAGAGGTGGGCTCATTTATTCAAGTCCTTTATAAGAATTATTAGCCAACAAAATTCATCACATCACAATTTCGCCTCGCCCCCCCCCCCCCCCCCCCCCCCCCCCCCCTGCAGGATGGGGGAAAAATATTACCTGGGTGAAAGATTATGAAGAGGGCCTGTTGAATATGGTCAGCAGGTAAGACTGCAACCTTGAGTGTTTCTTTCTTGTGTGAGAGCAGAATACAAATGGGAAACTGCTGCGTTTGTGGCAGATGGCAATGCATATGAATTAATATCACCCCACAGAAAGAGATAGAAACACTGCTCTAATTATAGATGCTTTAGATGATTCATTGATAGATTTTATGAGCCTGAAATGAAAATTCATATTGTAAGATGCCTCTTACATAGCCTGTATGTAAATGTTGTTGTAAACACTATACCATGAATATGAATTCTGTGTACTGGGGTATATTTTAAGCATAATTATCAAACCCATGCATCCATGAGGATGATTAGATGGCTCAGAGGTTCACACTGAGGTTAGAATACAGCACTATGTGCTCCTCATCAGGAATATAACCGTGTTTCTGTCCCCTACAGCAAATTCTCTATGTATTTCTGTCGTCATCCTGCTTACTCTCAGGATTTAGGAATGTGTGATGACGTTGTGACTCTGTGGTTTTGTTCTCACAGTAAGAAGCCGTTGATGGTCATCCATCATCGAATCGAATGCCCGCATAGTCAAGGTACTGCAGTAACTCCGCCTCATTAAGAGTGCCTGAATGTAATAGTATAGGCTTGGCTGTCTAATCCACACTTGGGCTTGGTCTTCACAGGGAACAAAACAGACACATTCTTCAATACCTGCTGAATGGAAACTGAAATTGTCACAAATTCTATTCATAAATCACTCAGCCGGTTTCCTTGATGTTCAGTAAAGACTCTGTGGAAGTCTCCACCTGTAGATCTGAAAACACACCTAAACAACACCACTCGCAGAAGAGAGTCTGGCTTTCACTTTTGACATGTGACAGGTTTGAGTAAAAGATCAGAACATTTTACACTCAAGCAACTTCTGACAATAAAACTAACATTGATATTCTGTCATTGATAACCAGTGAAACCCCCAAATGCCCTGCTGTATTTACAGTCCCTGCTTGCACACATGCTCCTTTTTGAAGATCACTTTGGGGAATGATCTCTTTAGAACATTTCGTCATGACTACTTTAAAGACATGTTTTTAATGTTTCTATGCTGTTGTAATGAAACTAAAAAGAATTATCTTGGCAGCCCTGAAGAAAGTGTTCGCAGCTGAAAAGTCCATCCAGAAAATGGCCAAAGCAGATTTCATCATGCTCAACTTGGTGGTAAATAGAGATCTATTACATATGGAGAAACTCTTCTACACTGGATTACAGTATACAGCTAATAGAGAAACAACAGCACTCAAGACACCAACAATATTAGACACAATTAATGGTTAAAATCATGCACAAAGAAGAATAGTGTCTATAATTCTCCACTTGATACTTCATATGCACTACAGACCAACTGCTGCTGTTTGTATTTGTTTTTTTACAGGAGGAGACTGAGGACCAGAACATGGCACCTGATGGCTACTATGTTCCTAGAATACTCTTTGTTGGTAAATATTCACATTTTTACAAAGCTTTTTTAATTATTTGACAGTATGTGATCCCTCTGATAATCCTTCATGTTTTAATGAGATTTATTTTTCTTTATATCTGATAAATATTTTGAATTTCTGGTATTATTCTCGTATCATCTGTGCTCAAATTAAATATGTGTATATTTGAACGTTTGCTGGGTTTTGGCCCAAGGCAGATTTTATGTATTTCTTTTGCACAGTCAAATATTTTAGACTAGTTTTTCCTCTTCTTTAGCAGAATAAGGATTTTATCATGTTTGATCACATGGATATGGTGAACTGCTCACAGACTCAGCATGTGCAGTGTTCTAAATGATGGTGTGGGAGAACTGGTACCTAATGTTCTGTTTTCACTCACCACTGTTTTAGCTGTGAGACTTATAACCAGACAACCATCTGTTTCTCTTTCTTATACATGTCATCACTGTCTCTTTCACTGTTCCCTCTCCCACTTTGTCAGCTTCATAATTTCATAATGCTTTTAAAGACAGTCACAGAAACAAGAGCAGCTAACTAAACTAAAGAACAGCAACAGCCAAAACAGCTCTGACACTCATATAACCACTCTCCTCAGCAACCTGTGTGTGTGTGTGTGTGTATGTGTGTGTCTTTGTGCAGATCCGTCCATGACTGTGCGCAGAAATATTGTAGGAAAGTACAATAACCGCCTCTACACATACGGGCCTGCTGAAATGGAATTATGTGAGTGAGCATCCAATGACACTTTGGGGGAGGAAGGAGGAAGAACTACTTATCCTTACCAGTCATTAGTGTGACGAGAGGCTGAAACTCTACTGTTTTAAACCATCATCTAACTTCCTCCATACTTTGACAGAAATTATAAACTTTATTTATTCCTAGCGAGAGACTTTAACAGGTTTCAGGTTTCAGCAGTTGAGCAGGTGGGATCATTTTTATAGCTACAGTTCTCTAGCTATTTAATTCAAATATTTGAAAATACTTGATGAAATACAATGTCATTTTCAACACATTCATTTGTCCAATTTAAGAGAAGAGTTAAGTTCAACTCAGAATTGAGGAAGGTGGTGGTTTTAAGCTTTAGATTATTTCAATTATCAAGATCCTGAAATCTCATGAAACTAGAATGGCACTACAATACATACAAGGCCCCATAGTCCATTTTTGAAACCACATTTTAATTCACTAGACCTAGATTATCTACTTGGATCTGCACCAAATTGTACACACACATAAAATGAGTCCTCTAAACATGCCAATTTTTCTCATGAGGAAGATGAATAATATAAGATTATTCTCTGAGAAATCTTTCAATGATCAGAATCACAAACATTTAAGAGGTTCATCCTTGAGCCATATCAGATCCTTCCATTGAGTTTTGAGGTATCCGTTAAATCCGTAATCTTTCAAACAAACAGACAGGGATTAAAACAACTTCCTTAGCAGAGGTAATCAACATTGCCCTCGGAACATAGATTAAAGAAATTAAGTATTGATCTCATATCCAACATTTTGACTCATGTATGTGCATATCTGCCTCTGTGCCTAAGAATAACTGCAGCTCTGCTTCCAAGACATGTCTGTATAGCTGGTGCCATTATTCAGTTTGATCCAACACAAAATCATAAAACAAAACCTTTTCATACTCTGTGCAGTAGATGTCAGAAAGTGATCTGAGCGCCCTGAAGAGAAAACAACAGCTTGTGTAGCCTTTACTTATAAGTCATTCCATTAAAGAAAGACAGCCGTGGCCTTTATTCTTATTTGTTCTCTCTTTTTCAACAGTGGCCGAAAACATGAAGAAAGCCAAAGTCCTGCTACACACTGAACTGTAGCCCGGCTCACTCTGATGTCTCTGCACCCTCCAGTCATCCTGGGCTGCCTGCTCAGTGGTCAGCCCTGAAGTATTTACATGATGCTCAGAGCTCAATAAACACTCAGAAAATGATCCCCAAATCATGCGTCCATTTTATTTACACTTAAAGGTTCAGTGTGTAGAATTTAGTGATCTACATCATTTCATCTAGTGTTGAAAGTGCATGTTGCGGCTGAACACCCCTCACCTCACTCTCCCCTTCCAAACATGAAAAAGAACCTGTGGTAGCTTCAGTTGTCATAAAAACTAAAAGGTTTTAGTTTGTCCAGTCTGGACTGATGTAAAGAACATGGCGGCCTCCGTAAAGAGGACCCCCTTGATTTAAATATAAAGTATTTAAATATAAAGGGCCTTTTCTGGGGTAAAGATGTTAGATGAAACAAACTAGTGAAAACATCATGAGGATTATTCTACATATAATTTCTGCCAATAGATCCTTTCACCTAAATCTTACACACTGGACTTTTAAGTTATTGTGCCAAGAGAAATGTGTGGATATTGAGGGTGGCAACAAGAAAATCAAACAAACTAAAAAGAATTAAGATGCTTCACCTATAGCACATTGAAATGCTAGTTTTTATGACTCTATTGTCTCAAAGCTTTTGAAGGAATAGTTTGAAAAACACATTTTCAATGACATACCATTCTCTATTACATGTAAAAGCTGGAACATATGAAAATATTAAACCTGTTCATGGATATATTATGATATATTTTCATGATGGTCTGTATTTTCAAGTAGTTTTTCTAGTTGTTACTATCCCTCAAAGCTCTTGACAGGACTGTACATTCACCCACTCACACACACCTTCATACAGTGCAGCTATGAGCAGCACTTTCTCTATCTTACAGGATTCACACACCACCGGCATGACTGTTAGGAGGAACTTGAGGTTCAGTATCTGGCCCAGGGAGCCTGGGTTAAGTGGACGACCCACCCTGAGTGTTACCTCAGAGAACATTCAGCAGACTTCATAAAAAAATGTTGTGTAGGGATGATGTGTTTTTCCACCATGTGATAACAACAGGAAAATAATCGAATCCCATTGGATTGTAATTGTGTATTTGAATGATTAGTGTCTGCCAGAAATTAGGATGTCTTTGCCACTAGATGGCAGTGTAGCATAGATGTTCAAAGTCTTATTCAGTCTGACGTTTTCACTGAAACTCTATTTAAACTAACATGTAGGTAAAGCATTGTTTGTATGTGGTTCAGTCACTTCGGCCTATTTATCACATTCATTGCACTGGTAGAATATATAATTCCATTCAATCTGCACTGTAACCTCATATGGACAGTACAACATCATTGTATGGTGTGATCGTCAAACTGCTGCTAGAAGACGAGTGTTTCCTCCCAAAGTTTGTTGGACATGGTTGCAGATAACTTTTGTATAATTCTGCAGCTTCTTTGTTTTCTCCTCTTTCACACTGCTCCTCGCTGACAACTGCAGGAATACCATTTGAAAACAACTCGGGCCGAGACAGAATGGAACCGTGCAGCAGTTGCCACAAATAGCTCACATGCAGTTGTTTCTGCTGTCATGTCCAGGATTAATGAGCTTGTTTTTAATTGTTATGGCTCCACGGCGGCGAGTGCTCTCGTGCCTTCACCTCCTGAAAGACAAACACGTGGAAAGGTAAAGACATAAATCAGGGGAAGTCATGTTTTTTTGTTTTTTTTTGCAAGCTTGCAACAGCCTCAACATTCAGAACTAATTATCGCTGCTAATAAGATGCATCCTGGAAACACAGTCACTTTGCATTTCTTTGAACTGGGAGAAACTCAGAAAACAGAAACATTTTAAATGGGTCAGCAAGTTTCATTCCTCAATATTATTTTTCTTTAACATCTACTGAAGAAGCTGATCTTTGTGAAGTGACTAAATTATTCATTCCTCCATTGCATTTCCCTCCTTTCATACAGTCAGCACTGACAACTGAAGCAATTGTCTGCATGCTTTTCTTTTTCTCTGTTTTTTTTCAGTTATCTGTCTTTCAGTTGGACCCAATATGATTTCTCAGGAACCCACCCCCACTTACCCCCCCTCCCACACACACACACACACACCCTTCTTTTTCTTCGAGAAACATGTTTCATAGGCTTATACTCCAGGGTTTATAACTAATGTGCTTTCTACTCAGAATTTCCTAAACCCCGGGCCTGACAATTCCCCGTCTGTCTCACTGGTGCTGTTTCAGAAAGTCTTCTTCCAAAATACTTTCCAAACATTTCAAGCCTGCATAACACTGTCATATAGTTTTATGAATATAAAGTAGCCACAGCATTACACGACTAAATAAATTACTAGTGATTTAATATGGGAGGAAAAATTTGGGGAAAAACGTGAATTTACAGATAAATATCAAAACAACCAAGAGAAATTTGGCAGTAATGTCATTGGTGGCATTATAGCACACACACACACACACACACACACACACACACACACACACACA